CTGGATAACACGATTAAATCTCAGAAAATGCGCCCAACAACCAGGGCGTACTCAAAAAGCACCGCCACGCTTCACTCACAGAGTTCGAATGGCTCGTTTTGCCAGGTTTGGTCGGAAACCGCTGAGATTCTCGGAATGCAGTGATAATTAGAAGGCGCCTATTGCCGTGCAAAGGGATACGAACCGCTGCGGTCGGTCGAGCCACCTAGAGCGAGCGACAAGCTCTCAATTCGACGTGCTAGTACGAGCGATTATTTTGCGACTTTGTCGTTTTATGGCATTTTCCGGCCGTTTTCATCTGTAATATTGTTTAAATGTTCAGCTCTTGTCTAAAATAAATACAACGCAATATTTTTATTATTTTGCTTTGTCATCACCGAATCTATCAATGACCAAGAGACTCGCCTCAGCTGCAATCAGATCACGATTATATCTTCTGACAGTTTCAAGTGGATTAATTTTATTCTTACAGTCTATTAAATCGTAAATAAATTATATAAAGCTTTTTTAGGTCTCCTTGATATCAAGTGTTTCGTAACCAGGTTTAGAAAAACTTATCGTAGAAAGGTATCCGAGAGCCGAGATTTAAATTATATTGTCAACTGCACAACGTTCCTCCGAATATCAACAGCACTGCTCCGAACTAATAACGTATGTAATTTTTTTTATATCAAATTCGCTTGAAGCATGTTGAATATTTTCCCATTTTAATCGAATTATAAATTGTTTGTGACAATTCGAACAGACCTTTCCTGTCAACTTCCAAGCTCACAGACTATGTATCAATAAGTGAAAATAAAATAACAAAAATGTGAACGTCAATAATGCTTGGAACACAAATTTAATTGAAGGAACATTACTCGCTTCCACAAACCTGAAGCGTTTGGAAACAATGTTAGATAAATCTCATTCCGTGCACTTGCAAGCCAACGGTGCATAGTTACATATGCTGCACTTAGGGGTCAGCAGAGAGCATTAGTTTGCCATAGGAAACGTATTATAAGAAATTATTCGTTGGCACAGACTACTATAGATTATAGCGATTGTGGTATCAGGCGAGAGCAGTCACGAGTAGACACCTCGATGCCTTAGTCAGCCATTCCAGCCTCCAACGGAATTTTAAAAAGACGTATTGTACATCAGAAAGAGAACGGCTAGACATTTAGTTTTCAAAATACAGCAGGTCTATTCAAAACTGTGCAGAATGCGGACAGTTGTTTCCCGACGATCGAGCTGTCACTCTAAGTGCTCAAGGAATTGAGAAGTTTCCCTATTACCGTTTTTGAACAAAACAACTCTCGTTCGTCCATACATGGCGGCAGGTGTTAACTGTTCGCGTCGTGTGCAGGATATTCACTGGGTAGCAAGACCCTCTGAATACGTCCTCATAATCAGCACGAAGTCAGCTCAGAGGGATATTCCGATCATACGGAGATATGCAGCATCAACAGAGCTGCAGTTTCAACGGCCTGCGTGCTGCCTTGCTTCAGAAAATCAACGGTCAGGGATGAATACATGCAAAACCAAGCAAAGCAAGTGCTTTGGAATCGGATCCCAATACCTTTTTAAACATTTTATACACACATTTCACAAATATATCAAAATAATTTCAACTGTATATGTAGTATTTATACATTTTTAATAATATTTTAAGTAAGAATTTGAAATTTTTTGCAATTAGATTGCTCGAATACTTAGTTACTAAAAAAATATACAAAAACAGAATTATACAGCAAAATGAGAAAGCGGTCCTCTTCATATCCAAGAAATTATCACAAAACGTCACTTCTGACAACGCAATGGGAGCGAAAGAAGCGACACCAATGACCACATTCCGAGATCTGCGACTCGACTTGGGAGCGACAGATCACAAAGTGATTAGTGTTGCACAGGGAATACAGCGCAGTGCTCGTGGCGACCCGGGACTGAACTTCCTTTCGAGGGTTGGTGTGATGAAACGCTCATACATTTTCGAAGGGGTAGGTCGGAACACCTGATCTCAGCAGAAAAAAATCCATTTGTGTGTGTTTTACAACATTAATTCCTAGGAGAATTCTTCGATGTTTTTATGTAATTGCCTGTCAAATTTCACTTAAACAACGTTGCAGTTTAGCAGATCTCCATTGCTTATTGGCTTTATTGAAAAGTTAAAGCGACATTGAGAAATGAAATATATTTGAAAGGGGATGCAAAAAATATATAATTAAAGTAAATTAAAAGTCGATTAGACAATTTATAAACAATTAAAAGGAATTTTTCCTCTTTTCCTAAACTTATTGGTGATGTTTCCAACTGCGCCATCTTAACTTACAACTGTTACAAGCCAGGTCAAGCAGCTGATCTCAATGGTAAAATATTCATTAATATTTCATGAATAACATTAATATTTGGAATATTTTGTTGTTTTGTAATCGCCCATCAAATTTTCCACTTGGTTAAAGCAAGTTATAGTTTTTGAGAACTCCATTGCATATGCTTATATGATTTTTGTTTAAAAGTAAACTGATTAGCACATAACCAAAGTCACATTCAGTTATGAACTGTTTTTACGCACAGAAAATATTTGAACAATTTTTAAAAAATTAATAGAAAGCTCTATTTGTAAGAAATTTTAAAATTCCGTAAAAGATTTGCAACCAAATATCGTATTTAATACCAAAGCCTTCCGCAGGGCCCAATTCGCAGGTTTCTCATCACGTTTTCCAACCCCTGCTGCTCGCTAAGAGCTGGTCATCGGCCCGCGGAGCATGCAGAACCGTCCCGAAGGTCATTAAGGTGTCCATCTGGCGGCTCTGCGTTACGTTTTAGTTTGGCGAGCTCAACCACAACTTTCCAAGACGGTTTAAGCGTTGTGCAGTGTTTTATACGAGCCCTATGGAGCAGGTCCTATATAAAGGGTTGTTTGCTTCCCCAAATATTTGGTTGCGTCTTTGCAAAATCCATTCTTCTTTATTTTTTTTTTTTTTTTAGCCAATACCGCAATCAAAAATACTTCTGTAAAAAAATTTATCAGGCACACGCCAACTAAGAATTCAAAAGCAGTTTTATATGATAGCACTTCCACATACTCCAAAACTGGTTCGGTACGTTATCGCGTATTGTTTTGCTTCTCATTATCGTGTTCTCGCAATTAGTTCCACTACAGATTACCAGCTTCCTCTGAATGTACGTACTGAAACCGATGGATATGGTAACTATGATTCAAACTGTGGATGAAAATCTTGCAACTGACAATGTGCCCTAAATCATCTCTAAAATTATTTTATTCTTCATCTTGGGGGGAGGGTGGGGGCAGTCAAAGATATTCTATCGAAACTTCAAATTGTTCAAGGCATTCGTCACCCTGGCCGGGAAAATCAAACGCGGATCTCCTGGCTTGCTTTACTTTTTACGGGGCGGTGACAATTGAGTGTGTTTCATAACTACTCGAAAGGTTGACAACTCAAACGATTGTCGACGAATATAAAAAACTGTAATGCTCAAAAATTGCATCCGCTTTCGGAGTTCGTAATGGCGGCTCTCTGCGGCGCCCTCAGGAATACTCCAGAGGACTCTGGCCTTTGGGGTAGACTAGAGTCCCTAGATACCAATATAGAGAATCTAGAATAGACAAGGTAGTCAGTAGGCACCCTGAAGAATATTAAAATGTAATGAATTTTATACACACGTTTTCTTGAGCCCCACTCCTTAAATAAAATAAGTTTAAGAAGAGATGTTAGCGTCAAGTGTTGTTGGCAAAATCTATTTACCAGAAATGATCGTTCCTGTACAATAGAAACTATTTTGCAAACAAAAACTAGCTACAGATTTAATAAAATAGTATTGTCTTCAAATAACCAGTACTTTTGCATCTATGAAAATGTGGGCTCGAGAGACCTATTAACACAAAACAATTCTTTACTTTTCTTATCTCTTGGCCTCTATTCTTCTCCAAGAATGGAATTAATTGGTACCCATGACCAAGATTTTTTCAAGGTTGTGTATATCACTCCCTCAGATTTATGTAAATCACAAATTGAAATCTGAAGTGTCTAAATATAGATATGCCAATACAAATTATCTTTGTAACAATAGTAGTCATATTCCTATGATTTCTCTAAGTTTTCAGCAATATGCAGAAAATAGCACATGCTTTTTGTTATGTTCTTGACATCATTAGGAATATAAACAGTTGTTCCCTCTCCTCCTCAAGATCTTGATTCCATTCAAAATATTAGATTCATTCACATTAAATGCTTCATTATACTCAAATACAAGCAAAATTCACACAATCAACTTATAAGAAGAGTAGCATCAGACTACCCAAATTATGTACCTGACCACCCTTGGGAATACAGATACACTCTTAAAGAAACTTGGAAAATTGCATTTGATGTCATACTTAAAACAAACAGATTGAACATGTTATGTTATAGAGAATTCCAAAACTAACCAAAAAATTTTTATTTATTAAAAAGAAAACACAATAAACCAAGCAAATTATATGAAGTTGTAATTTTAATTACAATCTGGGCTCAATTATTGATACAAATAATTATTGCACTCATTTTCACAATCATTTGACGTACCTGTTTATAAGAAAATTTAATATTCACTATGTGAAATTAAAAGTTTGGGGTCATCCAGAGCTTTGAAATAATGAGAGAATCTTTTCAACTGATTAAGTTTTGAGTTCATACTATGTGCCTTCCAAAATTATTAACTAAAATCTATAATAATACATTCAAAATATTCTCCAATCTTCAAATAAATTTTAAATACAATTTTGACATTTGGGAATTGAACAAGATATTATTTCATTGAAGATTAGAGTTTAATCAGAACGCTAATCAATCAGTAACAACAAAAAGATGAAGCCTTTATTATCACACATCCCAACAGGCAACATGTCACCTTCACCCAATTCAATTATTAATATCATTTTTTGCATTAATTGAAAATAATAAGAGCATTAGTATAATTTTTTGTCCCTTCTCATAAAATATGTCAATAAAACTCACCTGACAAAACTGTCATGAGGGCCAATGCACCCATGGCACCTGCAAACACAGTGAGTCGTGGATGACGCATGGCCATAATAGCAGCAATGAAGAAGGTTTTATCCCCAAGTTCTGATACAATAATAACAGAAATAGATGCAACAAATGCATGAATGAATCCCAAGTTTCCTCCAACAGGTGATAAGGTACTTGCTTCTGTTTTGTCTCCATTTTTCTGAAAATGAACCAGAGTGGTAACTAAAAATATATAAAATATCAATTATTACCATAAAAATAATAATGTGTATCGTACAATCGCATCTGTTCGGCCTTCCTCTTCAATAGGTTCCTTCTCAGCCGTTACTAACGATACAAATGAGACTATAAGCAATACCAATGCAGCACGTTTCGCCCAACACTCGTATCTTACACACTTCATTTTTACACTCCAATTTTTTCCCCCAAGTAAAGGATGTCAGTCACGGTGCATTATCTTCCTGATGAGCCGTACTGATTTCAAGAGATAAAATATCCCCGAGTTGCACGAAGCGATTAGAGATCACGCTATTCTAACAATTTCAAGAGAACTCTAGGAAGAAAGTAATATATATCAGTAAGAGATTTCACGAAACTGTCTCGCCTACCTTCACTGGCGTGAAATAAAATTTATGTCGCTATGAAAACTTTATAACCGAACGATCTTTGAAGGTACCCTGACTTTAAGCATACAGAGGTTAGGATTTCCTTCGACTATGTTCTTGCACGTACTTTCTGTGGTCCGACTCGATAAGTAACCTTCGGTCGGATCTAGTCTATAATTTCACACTTCAGCAAAAACTTGTCTTATCGCTCCCACGAAAACGTGTCCTTTTCGCACTTGCTGCCCGAACAGGTGACAAGAACTGTCATTAATACACTAAGTACTAGACCATGCACACACTCACTTCACTTAAATCACATTGACAATTTTTTCACATTATTATCATAGAAATTTTAATAGACGTCGTGAAAAAAGACAAGGGATCTTTCAACTCAATGTCACAAAATATTAGCGATGGCGAATACGCTTGCCTTGCCAACACTAGCGTACTCGAGGCGAACTGTCCGATTGCAGCTGAGTATATCCAGAGAGTATTATATATAAGCACGACTCTCACGAGTACGGAATCGTTCACACGTTCAGCAATGTTCACTGGGTCGTTCACAGCATTTGTTGGTCTGTGGTCATCTGTGGTTCATGCTGTTCTCGCAAATATTTGTCGGTTTTATGGTGGCCAGATTTTGACCGTGCCGGTACGCATGCGTTTGTCATACTGGGCGCATTTCATGACTTTTAACGATAACGTTTGATAAGACTGCCGAACTTACGTGGAGGAATGAATCCCTATTATAATCTGTAACTTGTATAAAGTGACCACTCGAGAAAACAAGAATGGCGATTATCGGGTGATTTGTGCTGGATTTATAAATATGAAATCTTGCAATATGAATGGAAGTGTAGAAAGAATTTGTTTATGTAATGACGAAAAAGTATTTATATTTACATTGAAATAAAGACATTGATCTTTTTAATCATTGGGCACCAAGTCTCAAATCCTGTGATAATTATTTCATCCGTCTTGTGTGCGATCATGATTTCCGATTCACTGCTTTTTACTCTTGCTTTGCTGGACACTGCTTGTATCTTATGCCTACTGATATATTTTGTATCCTTTTAATATGCATTGTGTTAAGAGTTGTGTTGCGTACTTGTGTATTGTATAGGTTATGTAAAATGAGTTACGGAATAGTTCCTTAATTATATTACTGTAGGTAATAACACTGTCGGATCTTGAATGTGATTATTTAAATGCTCAGCAATGTTGTACAAAGTTAAACATTGTAAGTATTTATTTATATATATTACATTCATATTATTTTATATTTATAATTTATTGGCATTATGATGTGATTCATAACTTTGTTTCAGTGGGTGTTACCTAAATTGATGGCACATGGATTTTTAACATTTCTTCTATTAATACATGCTCACTGGATTCTTGTGCTTGTTAACTTGCCTATGACACTATGGCTTGCATATGAGTAAGTGAACTGCTGAAATTCAGTTAAGAGTTCATTATTACTTCCCTGAAATACATAATTTAAAAATCTCATTAATAGAAAAAGCTACAGTTAAGAAGTTTGTTATTGAACTTGAGAAAATACTTTTTGGGGAATTAATTTCTATTTCCTAGACATACTTTATAGATTTAGTCACACATGCCCTTTAATCATGAAATTCAAAAATGTTATGACATTTTGTCAGATTTTACTGGAAAGTGTTTTGGATAATTTAATATTTTTTTCATTCTACAAAGATATAATGAATATTATATAAGATATAGCTATAATGAGAAGCGTTTTGTAAAATGAACATTTTTATTTCAGTTGGTGGGAGGTATGTTAATTGTACAAGTGTTTTTCTAAAATTGTTTATTTTCCTTGTTCAGGGCTGTATTATATACCAATTGTGAAAAAGATGGAAAGATTTGTAAGGTTTCTCTCTTTGAAATCAGTTCAAAAAAAAAAGAAGGTTTCAAAATTTTGTCTATGGTGTACTATATGCCATGGAACTTGTTGACCACTACACGTAATAAAAAGTATTTTTTCCTGTTTTTCATTGGACAGGCACTTCACAGTACCTACAGGAAATACTGGTGTATACGACCCTACCGAAATCCATAACAGAGGACAACTCAAGAAGCATATGCGTGACTGCATGATTTACTTGGGATATTATCTAATATTCTTTGTGGTATATTTATATTGGTGAGTATTTATTACCAGAAATCATGTAAAAATTATTGAAAAAGTGTTAATATTCTAAAATTTGTTTCAGCTTAATTATTTCCTTACTCCAAGGAAATCCTATTAAAAGAGATGAGGATTTGGCTGATATGCATGACTATTAAGTCTGCCTATGTTCCAGGATTTATCTGTTTGCATTAAATGAAATGCTCATTTCACTTTGATTTGGAGTTATATTTTATGAAGAAACTACCCTTTTTACAGAACTCTTTTATTCTGAGTTTGTGGAGTGTTCGTTAGTCTACTTGAAATTGCTCACTGACATAACTCATGAATAGCAGTATTGTTAAAACAATTGTGTTGTGATATCAGTTGATTACCCTAAGTAATAAAAAAAAAGTAAATAACTATTTTCAAGTGTACTAAAATGATCACCATGACATATTTTAGAGAGAAATGACACCTGAAAGGTTGCCATAAAAAATATTCCTAATATGTGCTAAATGAAACCGAAGAGTCGCTGGAATATGACTGAATATTAGACTATAGTAGGTTAGGTTTGTTAAGAATTTGTACTTCAAGCAAAGATAATTCATTACCAAAAACTGAATGCAACTTACATAATGAAACTTTAAAAATAATGTAGAAAATATTCCCTCTTCTAGGGTGTAATTAATGTTTTGAAAATTCAAATTTTCTCTGGTATAATTATCAATTAACAGCTCTACAGTTGTACTTTCTCTTTATGTTGCTATTTGTTTCTGGTTATGAGAATAATGTATCTAATTGACATAATAAATGTACCATGATTAGATTGTAAGATGTGTTTCTTGCTTTAAATGAATTGTTAATAGGTTATTTGGATGAGTGGGAAATTCACAGGAACTTTTATAAAGTAACAAACCAAGTGAAAACAATGGTAATTTTTATTGCTCAAAAACTTCACAATTAAGCAAGGTTTCTAAAACCAAGATAACATATTCAGAATTTTCCTCCACAGGATGAATTACAAGATAGTCAATGATCGTTCAATATATTGCCTTCAGACTAATCGTCCATCAGTTCTCTAGCAATCAAATCCACACTTTTTGTACATATTGTTTCGTATTAACTTGTTTTATTTACCTTCATGTTTGAGATTGCAGGGTTTTTTTTCCTGAATGGAGAGATTATTCTTTGAAACTTAAGAGTTCAATGAACTTATTCTTTGAACAAATTTTTTCAAAACTCATGAAAGTAGATGGCAGTCCCTATGCCCTGGGGATTTTCTTTTTAGGTTTCAAAATAAAATTTAAATTTTGATATGTTATTTTGTTTCTATATTAACAGTTAATGAAAGCTAATGATATCCAGCACCACTAAAAACTACCTTCCACAATGGCCATTTAGAGCATAGTAAGACGAAATAGGAATGACTTCACATCCTTTGTAAAATGGTTTCAGTAGTAGAATACTGTGAAACAGTTTTATGTACTATCCTAAAATATGTGAATTATGTTTTAAGGAATTCACTTCCACAAGCAGCTCGCATTTTGATTCTGATGTACCTCTCTGTTCTTGGAAATAAACAAGAGAATAACATTAATTGCTTTAAGGACACACTAAGTTTTCATCTGGCAGACATGTGGTAAGCAAGCCCAAGAAACATGAATGGAAGACTTGAAAAAGTAAAGCCTTGCTTATTTTCCAGAACTATTGTACAGTTTCTAGAGTACATTGCGGTAGCATCAAGTTGAAAGCTAAGAAAAATATTTTTGTTGTATGTTGAACGAAATCCACATGGTGTTTCACAAATGAAGCACAATTGAATAAAGAAACTTTTCAAATTTTGCAATTAAAGACTGATGAGTTAAATGAAATGCAGATGAGAAAATTGAGTTTCCTGGTCTGAGTAGAAAGAAGTAAGTAATTCTAAAAACCATTACAGGATGAGAAACTTCACAGTAACTATCAGCAACATCTTGTGGGCTAATTTACAAGCTGTTCAAAGACCAAAAGTTACCAATGACAGGAAAATAAACAAGTAAATACAAAGGTATGATGGGATGTCAGTAAATGAATAAAACAGCTTGTATGAAAATCGTCATATTTCCATACAAGAATACATACATTTTTGTAAATGCTGTTTAAAATCCTTTCACCACAGGACATATCAAGAATAAACTCCTTGTTCAGTAAAGATGCACAAGAGTTTGGGGGGGGAAATGTTTCATAATTTTAAAAAACATTGGTCCGTAACAAGCCCTCAGAAAATATTCCGTTTTTGAAAATCTTCTGAAAATCACGTATAAGCTACTGATGAAAAACAATTTTAATATACCTCTCAAATATCCTGATCTTAAGTAGAGCCCAGATCAATGGCAAAACATACTTTAAAAAAGATTTGAGAGTGATTTAAAAGCCTGACAGTCACGTTTTCTAACAGGGCTTTTTGTATCATGTACCTCCAAAAAGGAATTTCAGTCAAAATCTCTAGATCAACTTTGGCACTATTTTCTGAGACTAAAGAGCAATTGAATGAAGACTAAATTTCCAGAATTCCTGATGTTACTAACCTTGATGTTACATGGCAATCAATTAACTAAATTTTCAATTGGCAGCTTTTAATTAAATTACATTAAAATAACAAAAACAATTAGTATCACATTCAGATCTATAGTAAGTGGAAGTAGCTATTAGGTAAAAATAACCGTAACATTGAAAACATATCTTCACATCACACTTTTGGAGGGAATTCAGCCAATGACTTTCTCAAAAGTGGATCATTGGTAGTAATGAAGACTCTGCAAGCTGGTTTGAGCAATGATAAACTACATTGAGAAATTTCATAAAACTTTTTTGTTCTAATTTAAATTGCCATGAAATAACGTGTGAGACTCCAGAGAAAATCAATGTGTGCAGCCCATGGTGTAGTGGTCAGAGTGCATGCCTTCCACCGCTGGTGTCCGAGTTCGATCCCAGGCAGTTCCAAGTGGAATTTGTGGTAGACAAAGCAGGTTCACGGCAGGATTCCTCCGGGAACTCCCATTCTCCTGCCAATATGCATTCCAACGGACTGCTCCATCATGAATTCCCTACTCTATCCTGTCATTAATCACCATTCGGCTGAGGATCTTCGTATCATAGCGGCACCTAGGTGATTACCTAAGAACTAGCTGAGAAGGGCTCCAGCTACCTCAGCGGGTTATCAACAGATACGGTCTCAACCTGGAGAACTATAGAGAGGGGAAATTGTGAGGGAGTGGGGACACCCCCTCCCAAGATCTTAGATATCTCTTGTAGAGAATAAATGTAAAACCAGACAGAGCGAGGGGCACAGCTTGAAGCTGGCCCCTGAGGGAGAAAAATAGCTTACTTTCAATATTAGTCATTCATGAAAATTAGCACCCTCACCTCCTTTGGTGACTAAGTTCTCTTTCCTTCAATAAAAAATTCTTATTTTCTACACTTGTACCATAAATAACTATAATTAGAATTTATTATAGATTCATCACTATGTTAATTTATTATGTGCAAAGGATGTAAATTGCTTTTTGAATCTTACTCTGAATTGCAAAATCAAGCTCACTGATTTCTTGAAGATTCAACAAATTAATAACATGGTTCAATACATAGATGATATTCCACTCCCACTGTATAACAGATCAGCAGGAGATCTGTCAAATACTAACTTTAGATCTACTTTCAATGCATGAAAAACTATTCAAAATGCATTTATGAATTAAATTTTGTTTCTACTATTTTGATCACTAGGGCTGTTTTTTAGGTGCAAAAATCGGAAAATTTGTGTTTGTGTGTGTTTAGAAAGTGAAAAATATGTGTTAAAACTATGAAAATATTTATTTATTTATTACCATGTGAAAACCAGTCACTGAGATTGAGAGGTCTCAAAGTAAAACATGTCGTTAACCTCTTTATCACTCTGCACAGTTTGTATGTGCAATCTGAGAACATTCGGGAGCTGCTTGTGTTACGAGTGAGCGTTAATGCTTGGAGAATCACTGCTTGAATCGACAAGAGGGTTAGAAATGGCCCTATGGCCCTCAGTAGTTTAACAGGTCCAAAATTACACTCATGCCACTCAATCAGGAAGTCCCACAGTAACATGTTATATGTGACCAACCACTGCATTCCAAACTTGCTTTTACCATATATCCAAAAATTCCAAAGTATTAAACTTTAAAAAAAAAATTCATTTATTCATATACAATTTAGCGAAATATGCAAAATTGTGTTTTCATGAAAATATTTATTTTTCATCAAAACACATGCAACTTAATCAAAATATCTATTTTTCGGTGATATGAAATTGGGTAGGGAAATTATGGGGTGCTACTTGAATTTCCACAAAACTTTTAACCCTCAATATTACGGGGAAGAAATATGTATTTACCTAAAAGTCCGAACCCTATTGACCACCATTCTTAAGTTATCATATTAACTTAGTATGAAGGAATTCTTATAGGATAACAGACATTACAGAGAATAAATCATGATCCAATCTAACAACCCAACTTAATTGATCTCATTAAATGAAACTAGACTGAGAGAAATTCTCATGGGAAATGTAATGATGTAGAAAGTAAAAATTAAAGCAGTCTGCGTTATTTTATAGGAAATGGAAGAAGAACAACATTCTGCTAGTTACTCAACTGGCAGCAATTTTTTTTGTCTCCAGTGAAGAATAACAACAATAGGAATTTCTAATGACCAGGCACTGGTTGATTCAAAGGGGGGTGTCTATGTTAACCCTCCTTTAATTGGCAAAACTTACTGATATATTAATTTATACCTGAAATAACTAATTGTTTAAACAATAATATTGTTTAGTATATCTACAGTATATAAGCAGGATAATAACAAACATGTTTATTATTTAACAAAAATCTATGATGGCCCCCCTCCAAAATGATTGGCTGGATCTGCCCGTGACAAGATTATTATTTTCCTTCAGGAATCCCTACATCAGCAACAGTAACTTGCACTTCTACAAATCTCTGGTAATTAAATTTATGATGTTTTTTAACCACCTCTACTTTCGTGCTAGCAGAAGCTAACAATGCAATGCATATTCCCTTTCTAGAAAGAGATGTTTGGTTTCAACATCAAATGGTTACAAAATTCACAGATCTTCAGTTTCTTCATTAACATATGATGGAATCATCACATCGTTTATTATTTGTATACATGTTCCCAACATTTATCAAAACATCAATTTCCTAAGTTTACTAGGTTAAATTTCACTATGAACGAGGCCATTTTAACCTAAGTTGTTATTGTTATGGCTTTTACAGAGACCCAGTGGCCGCTAATACATCTCAAGTTTGGTAATTTATCAACAATTGTTTCTTTAGACAACTGTACTATCATTCACTAATCATTTGCAAAATATTCTAGCTTGCAAGACTGTTATAAAACCTTAAAGAAACTGTATGCAAGAAAATGCTACAGAATGAAGTTGGGTAGAACAGATTATTAACAAAAATTAAAGAAAACAGCATTGCCAATCTTTAAAACTGCAGTGTCTGAATGTGATTTCAAAATACTTGCCTGTTTATTATTTCAGAAACATGATTTTAAAATTTTTACGTATATGTCTGGGGATAATCTCAGAAGATAAAGTGATTTTGATGGGTTTTTCATGAAAGGTATTTTCTCAAGGATACTTTACGCTACTTTTTTCAGACTTTTTTTTTTTATGATATGAAGGAAAATGTTTGTTTGATTTTTATACAAATCTACAGTTTCATACTGAACTTCATGAAATGTTGTACATGTGGTCTTCAAAACAAGAGAAAAGTTAATGTGTACATAAAATTTGGAAAACTATTTGCATACCCTACACCTAATAACTAAAATCAAAATTCAAATGTGGATCCTTTCAGTATTTTCAGGAATATCTCTAAAATGGTGAGAAAATTCATTAAAGTAAATTCAATGTTTCTGAAAGCCCAATAAATATCCTACTAAATCCATTTTGATTTATTGTGATTCTACAATAAGGCTTTGAGTGATTTTCAAAATTATGACTTAGTCTTCCAGAAGAATACAACACTGATCTATTTACAGCTCCCTGAAGCAATGATGATGATCATGGTACAAACATGATAGGGCAATGCGATGGGGCCAAGGGAGGTAGTTAGGGAGAGGGTCAGACTGGAGATGGATTGGTGAGGGAAGGACCAGGACACAGAGGATGAAAATAATTTTCCAAATTTCATTAAGACAGTACTTTTTCTCTTGTATTGAAGGCCACATGTACAAAATTTCATGAAGTTCCGTTCCGAAGATTTGTATAAAAACCAAAGCAGGAAGACAATATGCTATAAAATAATTCATCCCTTTTCCCATCTATTAGATATCTGTCACACCAAGGCAATGTGGATTGCTTCACATAACATAATAATCCAAAAATAAATACACCAATTATTTTCTATTTCATTTGAAAAAATTGACATTGTTTCTCATGACCTCTTGCCTTGATGAACATCGTTTCTTCCCATGCCAGGGTCCCCTTCCAAGGTTAGGACCCTAGGCTGCTGCCTAATTTGCCTATGCAGAAGTTCATTAGCGGTTAGGTCATTCAAACACTGAGCATTTTAATTTTGTACAAAGGGCTGACTCTTTTTAGTTTATTTTTAGAAGATATTAAATCTTTTCAAGGTGATTATAAAAGAAAAACCTATCCTGAAAAAGGAATTGAGAAGCAAAATAGTTTGGAAATAATTTAACACAATTTTACTGACTTAAGTAACAAGTTTCTCATATTCAAAAGTTATGAACATATGAGTTCTTGAGTTAAAAAGGGCCCTAAGATTACCTCTTTCATTCTTTCTTTAATTTTCCATTCACAATCTTCAAAACTAAAAAAAGAAACAAAAAGGAACATATATTGTTATGACACTGGGTCAGATCTCTTAATGGCGAGGCTTGTAAACTAGTCCACAGGAGGGGATAATTAAGAAGAAAAATGATTATCTTTCAAGCTCCTAGCAGATCTTTTAGGATAAGGCTACACTGCATTAAATAAAGTTCAGTCATTACCTCAACATTCACAAATTTCAAATCTCACTAATCAGTGGAAAAGCAGATGTGATAACCTAGGATTCATTTAAAAATGAGGGTCAACTATTATCCTCTTGTACAGTTGGTTATCTTGTACTCCAGGATAGTAAAATGATCACTGGAGAATTCTGGGGAATAACATGGCATTTTTGGTACACTGCATCTTAATCATTGTCACCCCACAATTTGCTCTTTGCAGAACAGCCTATCAACACCAGCTCCACTCAAGCAGATATACAAATAAGACTATAATTTTTTCACTGGATGACTTCTTTCTTTACTGATTGGAAATTGTTTAAGTTCTTTTGGCCCCCTTGGATTATAGAAAATAATTTACTATTAAAAAAGGTAGCCTTACGTTTTATATTCTTCAATAAATTCAGAAAGCTAGCTGACTGCATGTGGGTATGAAAGTACTCTACTCATAAAACCCAAAACAAATAAAAATTAACTTCCTCATGGCCAATTGTTTAAAAAGCAACTATGAAACATGTATCTTTTCAAACAAATTACGTGGTATTTAAAATCTACATTCTACAGAATATAATATACAATTATGTATCAGTAGTTGATTTTCTGCAATGTGCAATAATCATTTTGTACATAGAAACAAAAGTAATACAGTACAAGAACTGTACTATCTACAAAATCTTCCTTAACGGTTTGTGTCATAAGTATTTCAATTAAATAGATCAACAAGAGAATTCACCAAGGGTGAACAAAATATTGCTTGGCAAGTCCTCTCATTTGAAAAGATTGTCTGCAGGATGTGGTAAGGTTTCCCCAGAATGAGTTTTTGCATGAGCAATCAAAGTTCCTCGTCTGGCAAAGGCTTTGCCACACCCACATTTGTAAGGACGCTCTCCTGTGTGTGTTCTTAAATGTGTAACCAAAGTGCCTCTGCGAGAGAACGCTTTTCCACAGCCACACTTGTACGGACGCTCACCTGTGTGTGTTCTGACATGTGTCACCAAGCTGCCTCTGCGTGAAAAGGACTTTCCACAACGACACTTATAAGGTCGTTCTCCTGTATGAGTTCTTGAGTGGGCTATCAAAGTCCCACGGCGGGAAAAGGCTTTTCCACAACCACATTTGTACGGTCGCTCACCTGTGTGAGTTCTTGAGTGTGCTACTAACGTCCCACGTCGAGCAAAGGACTTGCCACATCCACACTTGTGTGGTCGTGCTGCTTGCTTAGCCAGTGAGTGCTTTAGTAAATCACTGCTGGTAGAAAATGCTTCTCCACATTCCACACAAATAAATGGCCGTTCACCTAAATGTATTCTTGAATGTTTAATCAGAAGGCTTATGTCAGCAAAATCTTTTCCGCATTCTTCACATTTGTACGGACATTCTGGAGGCTGCTGCATGGCTGATGTTTTCAATAACAGGTAATAAACTCTTAAGCAACAAATTAAACACAATTACAATAGGAATAATTGTGACAAACTAATAAAATATTTTAAGTACATCAAGAAGTTTAAACTGCACAACTTTAGCAAAATAAAATTCATCCATCCAATGCATGGTGGGAGTTGCCCTATCCACAAACTTGCAGAACAACTCCCAACCACCTCACTGAAACAGATATGAACATATAAGAACCTGACTGAAGTGAAATTGGCATAAATGTTATTCAATAACACAGATTGCTACTTTTAAATACAAGATCACAAAAAATAATTTATAAAGGCGAGCTACTTAAGAGGTAAAATAATAAAAAGAAACTCACATCAATAGGTCTCCCTGCTACTCATGTTACTTCCCTTCAGAATTGATTAATTAGACTCATGCACACTACCAGTGTGCAACAATGTAAGAATTACTGAAGAATACCCTGTCACTGATCATTGTGCCTAAGATTTTTCTTCTGACTTGCTCTGCCTGCATTGCAGATGAAAGGCAAGACATATACTTCAAGCATTATACCCAATTTTCATATTTAGTACGTATTTCATTGGAACTGACATAAATGCGCATGTCTAGGAACATAAATTTACTTCTGAGATTATAACGTGATAGATAACCCCCACGTAGTTACAATGCATAGGAAAGATAGTGTGATTTGACAATTCAAATTCAGACAAGTAATGTCAACACATCGAAAGTGGAGTGGAACATTGTTGATTTATTACCTTTAAAGACAATGATCGTCCGCGCAAAAAAAAATCGGAAAGTATCAAGTGAAAATCTTCACATTAGCAATGTCCTCTTAAGCGTAGAACTTAATCTCCAAACACACATGATCAATTTATAAGGTTTCTTCATAATGCACTCAAACTGCACTTTCCATTTTATGTAGCATAAACGAGCGCTCATAACTTGAATAAGCCAAGAATATTTATAGCAGACAAATACACTGTCAAAAAAAGAATAAGATGATATCGCCTCCTAAGAATAAAGAGCTCCTTTTTCAATTTGACCGCCTCTTTCAATTACTTTATAAGGGACCCCAGAGAGCATATGTTCCTATTTAGGTTTACAGATGAGTAAAACTATTTTTTTACACAGCTCCTAACAAAAGCGGTTCTTTTTAGGCCTACACAGCGCGCTAAAAGTTCAATTTCTTACATTAGTGCTAAAAGTGAGACGATGCTCAAATGTTCACATGAAATCAAAGTGTACATTGGTGTACATCATGCGGATGTATCATGCACACTATACGAAATTTTGTGCTTTGTGACGTCATAAGGCTATTTGTTCAAAATCGTATTAAATCGCTCCGGACGTAGGCGCGCGTGTTAAAAATCACAGTCGACCTCCGCAATTGCTACGCATTTCACCATCATTTTAAGCGATGGATTAAATAAAAAATCCTATAAATGGAAACAATTGTTTTGTTTATTCAAGAGATTGGTTTGTGTATACAGCAGCACCGCTGCACTTGGGGGCCAGCCACCACTGCATAAAGTTCCTCAGCAAATAATTCTTAGAGTGTTTTCCCAGAATATTGTCTATTATAGGTCCCGGGTCCGGAGCCAATTCCTCGATTTCAGTCTCACAATCAGCGCCGTCGTGAACCTGGCCCGAGAGGTGCATTGAACCAGGGCGGCATAAAAATTAGAAAACTAATTTAAAACATTGAATGAAACAAAACAAAACTTATAATATAGATCAAAGTGCAATGCCGTTTTAGCCCTGAGAGTGAACCATTTAGAAGTATAACCATAGGTACAAAATTTTGGGATATTTTAAATGAAGACTTCCAGACATTTTAAAAATATTCTCAAAGACGGCTCCAAATTTTTTCTTTACCTTTTTTAAAAGAATAGGGTAACATATTAACAAGTCTGATTTTAACGGCGAACTCTGAATTTTCGAAAATTTCAAAAATATATTTCTTTCGGTGTCCTTGTACAACTACAAAATTAAAGATAGAAATTTTATTCTTCGAATACAAATTGTTCTCCATAGTGAGTTCTTTCATTAAGGTCAAGTGCAATACGTGCAATTTAAAAAAAATACAAAAAAGATAATTTCTCATAAGACTTCAATTTTTTCTTCAAACATTTCGAACGGATAGTGCTAATTACACTCTTTAATATGACGTAAAGTTAATTTCGGTGAAATACTATTTCCAAATAATAATCATAATTCTCTAATGTTTTTCGTAGATATCTCAAGTGTGATTTTTTTTTAAAAAAAAAAGTACATTGAATACGTACAATTCATGATCACAATCGTTTTAACGATCACACAACAATACTCAAGCAAGAACGACCGTTTTTTCTATTTCCCGCGAACTTGTCAAGATGCGCATGACGCCTTCTTCCTGTTTCCATTCTAGCCGCGCATTTCAAACAAATTTAGTTCCCTTGATATTAATAAAGGGAAGCTATAATTTATTCATTATATAGTAAACTCCACTCCTAATTTTCTCTCTTTGTTTTGTACCACACTTGTAGCCGAATCGGAGGGGCATCAATTGTTCTCTTTATAACTTTATTACATACTACGTGAGGGGTGAGCTAGTCCAGTGCACCGATTATTGCTCGTTATGCGCAGCACCAGATACGTCCCGAACTACGTGACCGCAATACGGCCATTTCGTTCGGAAAGCCAGACCATAGATTAGCATATATTCATCCACGGCAAGACACCAACACGTGACCACTATTCAACTATGGACAGACCGCCATGCTGCAAGGCAAGCGAGAAGAGTAGAAAAACATTTTGAAAGAGGTATAAAGCGAAACGTTTCAACGGTCACCAACTAAAACGCAATGAAGGTATAGTTGAAATGCAGGTTGCAACTGTTTCAATGTGGTTTTGGTATCTGGCTGCGTTTAAAATTCCCGCTAATCTTGACGCAAACCGGAGCATGAAGTTCATTGGCTGAAACATTAGCTCACCCGTCTTTTCATGACATCGAGTGAGCATGTAACACTTTCAGCTAAGGGATTGTAGCAAATTTTTAAAGGTCTGAGGGTGCTAGTCTGTTGTGCGCTAGTGTTCGCATACAACCTGACCGACGTTTTGCCTTCAATTGACTTATCGGTATCAAGGGCCCACCAAACGGATTCTGGCTACTCCACGTTAATTTCTTTTCTTAATTTGGCAACGGGATCTTTTTATCCGATTTTTTCGTTATCAGGGCCCGGCAATAATTTATTTTCTGCCGTTTCTTTCGCGCAGCATTTCCTATCTCTCTATATACTAATTATAATACTTTGTATACGTACGAAAGTAAGCTAGTGGTGCTACAGAATGGCACAGACTTACCCGCATTAGTTTTCTATTTCCATTGTCTCTGCTAACTATTCGGACCTGCCACATACTCTTGCCAGCTGCCATATATCATTGTCCAAAGTACTTTTTTCCCCTTAATTTTCCGGCTTCCTAATAGTAGAATTGAATTATTACTTTAAAAATATTTAACAACAGTAAAACATTCCCAATGACAATTTTCATTGAAAAAATTGGAGCCATTTTCTTAAAAATGGCATTTAAGCAATACTGTAAATTCGAAATTTGAACCTCTTTTCATAGAAAACTTCTTTTTGAAAAACTTCATATGACATTATTTCAAGCACTTTCAGTAACAAATGCAATAGTGTTTACAAATCGGTGGAAAGAAGCATACTAAAGGCATGAGAGATCTTTAAAAAAAATTACATTTGTGAAATTTTTGAAAAAAACAAATGAATACAGCAAAATCAATTGTATCATTTTAAATAGCGCAATTAGCACTACCTATTCGAAAAGTTTGAAGAAAAAATTTGGAGCAGTTATTGAGAAAATGGCATTTGAGCGTTTCTAAAAACTCTGAATTTTGGGCTTATTTTCACGGAAGCTGTTGAGTTTTCAGGAAACTTTATTTCACATTATTTAAAGCACATGTACTTACAAATAGATGAATTTCAAGAAATCAGTTATGTAAATATTAATGTGAGAGACAAGTCAAAATAATTACATTCTTGTAAATTAGGAAAAAACAAAAGAATAGAGCAATATGGTGTTTAAGTCCTAGAGTGTATTTAACACAATTTCTACCAAAAGTTAAAAGAAAAAATTTGCAGCCCTTTTTGTCTTCGTAATTTTTAAAAATTGCACCTATTGCTCGCAATATTGTGTGAAAACTACTAAAATTTTCAAAAAACTGCACATGACATTACTGAAAGAATTCACTATGATGGACAAATTTTATTTGAAGAAAAAATCTTTATCTTCAATTTTGTAGCTGTAAAAAGAAGACGCCCGAAAAATTTTGAAATTTTCGAAAATTTGGAGTTAAACCTGAAAATCTGAACTATACCACCGTTTAAGTGCATTTTATTCTATTCTTTTAAGAAATTTAAAGAAAAAATTTGGAGCCATTTTTGAGAAAATGTTCATAGGACTTCATGTAAAGTATCCCCCAATTTTAGAGAATGTTTTTCAAAATGACAATGTTTTGACTCACGCCAGATGGACGGTACTTCAATTTGGAAGAAATCCTACGGATGGTTTAGATGCTAGTAGTGTTCATGGACTCCAGACAGATGGACAGACAATTTTTTAAAAAAACTGCATATGACATCGGTATCAGGGGACCCCAAAACATGTATTTCAGTTAAAATCTTGGAATATATTTCACACAGTATTACATAACTTTCCCTATACTACGTATATTACTCCGTATATACAGATGTATACGCGAAAGAAAAAACCAACACTCTTTTGATATCGAAGGAAAAGGTCCATTAAAATTTTGAACTTTTTTAGCATCAAATAATTTGCTTTATACCATGAGAGAGAAAAAGAATTTGGCTATCTGGTGTTGGTGAATACAAATATAATAGCCTGTCCTTACTGGCTACACAAGTGGAGATGAGATAATTGTTTAGAAAGATCACATTTTCAGAAAAGTGTCATAATTGGCTAGAACAAAATTTCTGAACCCAACAAGTTTAATAATGGCATTCCTGAAAAAAATGTACAAGCCTTATTTGGACAAAACTTTTTCAGTTTTATTCTTTTTGTAAGCAAGGCTGATCAACCTTTAACATGACTTAATCTTCACAAGAGATTATGTCATGGCTACTATGGTAGTAAACACACTATATACAATTCAGAGCATAGCTGTAGTATCTGGAAAATATTTTTTATTTCTTATAGGACCTAAGCTGATATTTGCATTGAGCTTCAAAATTTGTTTCATACAGATCATCAAGAAATTCTTTAAAATAAATTAGTGATCACATATAATAAAATATGCACATAAAAATATAAATATTTATTCTCATCTTTTCATTGAAAAATCATTCATGCAAAAACAGAAACTATTTCACTATGGATATCTACATACTAAAACATTTTTTTAGGCTAGCAGATTAATAATCATTTTTTTACCTCACTTGAGAAATTCATCATTTTGGTATTTGAAAAGTTATGTACAGATATAAAATGTTCACAAAAGTATATTAAAAAAAAAATGTAACTTCACAAGAGAAAATTCATACAGTAATGGTCTGAGGCCTCTAATGGAGAAAGAAGTAAATTATGAATTGTTCCTTATTATTCAAATACGAACACAATGAAATAAAAACTATACATTTACAGTAAGAGTAAATTGTTTGAAAGATTAAGAAACTAGTTTTAAGAGTGTACTTCTTATGATCTCTGTGCATGCCGAGTTACAGTTGACATTCCATCGATGAACTGAGTTCTGAATAAAACATTTGCATTATTAAACATCCCATCCTTGAGAGAAACGATGATAAACTGAAACAAATGAACAAACTAATCATCTACAGAATTTTAAAATCACAATAATAGCAGATTAAAGTCAATCACAGTAATTTTTAATGTTCATGTATATCCATGTCCTTATGTACCTTTCCTTATTCTAAGAGATGGGGAAAATGCTCACTAAAATTTTCACTTCTCTTTTTCCTGCTACATCAGTCTTGGACAAAAACTACAATTATCATAATCAGTCTGTTTACTGAATTAATTAACATATTAGGCAAGATAATTATAATTGTCTTGTTTTGTTTTCAATAACTAATTGCTGGATCTGGTTATGCTAGAAAATTTATTCTAATACACATCTTTTTCTTCTTGTTTCATTTACAGGATTTACTGATCAATGTTTTTCCACTTGTTTTCAAGAACACATTATGAACACTCCTCGAATTGCAACAGAAATAGCTCTTGAAGTGTGACACAGTAAGCTGTCTGCGGAGGAAAAAAGGAGGAAAGTGATGGGATGAAGTGAGCCTGGCAATGTATGGGCATATAACGAGCAACCATTCTGTGAATCCAGCTCATTGAGCTGACTTGAATTAGATGAATTGATGCAGAGTGATTGATTATAGATCCCATCTGACCAAAGAGAAAGTCAAGTAGGCTGTTTCAAGATTCCATTATTCATTAAAGAATTAGAAAAATAGAGGTTACATATACTTTCTTACAATTTGTAAGTTTTTTAAAATACATCTTGAGCAGCAAAAGTTTGTTGTTTTTTTTTCTTTCTTTTTTTTTTCCTCTCTCTCTCTTTTCCTTTTTTCCCTTTGGTACCAGAGTTTAGTGCATTATGCACATTGAATTCTCGGCTATCCGGGAGACGCCGCATCGTTGGCTGGGGTGCCGACGTTTCGCCTGACGTTCCGATAGCCGAGAATTCATGGATTCAAGCCACGGAAGCTTACGTATACACTATGCACATTGTCTCCACACCAGCAGTTTTCCAAGTAAAACAACCTTCCAAATGCTTTGTAAACTAATTTGAAAATTTGCTACTTTTGAAAATTCAGATATTTTCATTAACATCATTTCAAAATCTAATATTCAAGAAGAGGTTTAATAAAGAAAATTTTAGAAAGTCGCAGAACAAATTTTAAGCTTTTATAACATTCAATAACACAGATTAGCAAAACCAGACCTGTACCTTTTTATAAACGTATTTTGCTCTACACAAAGAAATTATTTAAGAAAAAATTTGGAGCCATTTCTGAGAAAATTGTGGTTTCAAAAAAGCCTTTATTACATGCAAAATTGTGCAAAAACGTACTTATATTTGCAAAAATTGCTAATGACCTACTTTAAAGGAAATATTTTGAAGAACACATTTTTTTAAGATTAATAATCTTGCCTAAAGTTTGCCTATCACACTTGCTGACGTCATGTGTCATATTATGTGTATCATTTTTCATGAAACATTTGCCAACTTCACTGGCTTGTAAATGTGTGTGTATTTCTGCGACCTTTGTTGATTCTGTAAAAACATGCTGACATCTGATGCAAATATTCCTGACCGCTATGCTTCATTAGAACATATAAATCTACAATTGGAAAAACAAACTAAAAATAACCCAATTACTGGCAAATTAATGTAAACAAATATTACCCTGTGTTGAAAGGCACGAAGGGAAAGAAGTAGTAGTTAAATGAAAATAGCTGTTTCATTTGACATGATCAGTCAGATCACTCAATATGAAAGGCACCTCTGGCACCACTCTCGAAACAATTTAGTAGAATGAAAGTAGAAATGTTTTCAATTAAATGTTTAAAAATGTGTCAATAAAGAAGACTAGTGCAATTCTTTTTCCTCTTGAAGCTTGGAAGATCCATTATACAAAAAAAGGTAGAGACACAAATGAAATAGAAACTTGTGACTTTCTTATTATATTCTGTTGAACTAGGCTTCAATGTTTTCAACTTGAAATGATAAGGTGAGATCTTTGTAGAAAAGAATTGGCAAATCCTTTTATTTACAAAACAAAATATTTCATTTTGTTGGAAAAGTTTAAGGAAGAAGATTGACTTGGTGTTTGTAATGTAAAGCATAAGTAGAAAAAAAACAATGTTAATTGATCATAATTTGTCCAGAAGCTGATGTCGGGAAGCGTAATGAGAATGTGGCATGCCATCATAATGTTGGGAGACTGCTTGAAGACTGAAGGTTACAAAAACCTGACTCACGACAATTACAAAAAAATCACACCTGGTGATTTTTTGTGTAATTGTTGGTATTACTTCCTGACGTTTCATTTGAGTACAATTGCACATTTGCCACCAGTTCACAAAAGATTAACAAAATATCCAAAAGTACTGAAGAAATTGCAATAGTATACTATATCAAAAATATCCATTTTTAATAGAATTATTGTACATAGACACCAAAAAACATTTTAACTTTTGCAAATCCTTGAAAATTCATATAGTGAAAATTAATATGATGAAAATTGGACCTGAGCCATTTACATAAGAATACTTTGCTCTATCTGAGAGAAAAAATTGGAGCTATTTTTGGGAAAATTTTTAAAATGTCCTTGAGGCTTCATGTTAAGTACCCCAAAAATCAATATTATACTATAAATACTGATTCCGGCCACAGAAGCCTACGTTCTCTCTCCCAAAAATCAAAATATCCATTTCTAATTCAAGGAGCCACGACATTAGCCTGTTTGATAAGTGAATATCATTTTCATGTAGTCACTAGTATTGTTCATAGACAAGACTGACGGATGGAAAAACAGACATTTTGCTATAAAACAATGTTTAGGTAAGGACCCAACAAACAAGGATTTTGGCCATATTAAACGAGGTACTACACTATATAAAGAAACAAAAATTCTCCATTTCCTTGATAATAGGGACCTACAATGTGCATTTTTATGTTGAAAAATCACTGTTTTTCATTGGAGCATTACATAATATTATCTATAATATGAAGGTAGAATGCAAGAAAGTAATAAATAAATGCAGATTCCAGCATTAATCAATAAGGATGTGCAGGTAAGCAACAGATTAAGAATAAAGCAATCTAAGTTCCTTTATAATTGTAATAGTTTACTTACTTGTGAATGTTTAAAATGTTTCTTCAACATATTTCCAATATTTTGTGTATGAGATAGATCAAGAGCAGCATCTACCTCATCCAAAATATAAATAGGAGCTGGTTTAAACAGCAACATGGATAAAATAAGTGACAAAGCAACCAGAGAGCGCTGGCCACCACTTAATTCTCCCAAACTTTCCTTCCAAGTGTCACCAAAACCCACTTTTATCTGGAAAACAGTACAAGATTCCACAATACAAATACTTTCAAAACAAGCAAACAAGGCCCTCAGGGTATGATTTTTATTACTGAAATGTTTTTCTCAATTAAACACATCATTTTGTTAATCGTACGATAAAGTTAAGTGAAATACATGTGAAGAAGCAAATTGCCTAATTTTTATAGTGAAACCTGCTGAAATGTCTTCCTCAATAACAGTCATCTCCTTTAATGGCCATTTTTTCATGGAACAAATTGCTTTTTCCCATAAGACACATGTAAATATTCTCTCTTTTAAACAGTCTCTCGACCCTGCAGACCTATACAACTTGAAAAATTGGTGATTTTGATCTCTAACAAACACTGGTGGAAATTACTGTTAATTTAGTATCTTCCAGCGCTGGGACATAATGGCAGAGTATGCGAAACAGTGGTATCTAGTGTTGCTTATCTTGTGGACCAATTATTTTTTGGTTTAGATCACAATAAATAATATTTGTGGATGCTATGAAGTTTCCTCTGGATATAAATTGTCAGTTTGGTTCTAGGGATTCAAATCCACAAATTGGAAGAAATTACTTTTAGAGTAGAATACAAATACTTGGAACTGAAAGTTTTTGTACAAGATTTGTCTAAGAGTAAAAAAAGTTAAAAACATACATTTTTTTGTAGTTTAAGTGTAATTAAAAAAGTATAAACAAGCAATGTATGCAACTTCAGTGCAAAATGCACAATTAGGCTAGAAGTCTTGCTTCCCATCGTCTTATAACCTGCCCTGACTACTTATGATACCTCCATGATTGACCGCTTGAGACAGGCTTCACTGTATTTGGCGAAGAAGAATTGTAGGTATAGGTGTTGTGGTGTGATATCTTTGGCATTTTTCATGAAATAATTAAAGACGTCATTGCCAACAATATTATTTAATGTAAGAGCAGCTTTCGATGGCTTAGCCATCATCATCAGTTGTCTGCTGGATGGAAGCCACAAAACAACTAGTTGTTTAGTCGTTTTGTGGCTTCCATCCAGCAGACAACTAATGATGATGGCTAAGCCATCGAAAGCTGCTTTTAAATATTATTGTTGGCAATGACGTCTTTAATTATTTGAAGAAGAATTGGCATTTTTCTGTTAATTCTGTTTAAAAATTGATAAGTAATATCAGCTATGTAATTTTTAATTAAATCACTAAAGGATAGTGTATAAAATGTAGTATATAAACAATAATAAGTATTCATTTTCATGACAAATTGTATTAACAAAAAAGGATTTGATTTTTAGAACAAATAAAATCAATAACTATTTCCCAATGAAATATTTGTACATAGAATACTCTTGTACCCAGTATTGGTTTGTCACACCAAAGCAGTCATGTTCTCAACCATGAATCCATGCCTGCGATGCTGAAGTAATTGCAAGAACTTCACATGACAAAATGCACAGTTCTATAACTAGGCTGCTCTGCTTTCCTGACAGCTGGGAGCATTAAACATTGACATCATGTTTCATAACTGAAGGCATCAGTTACTGTATGTGAAATAAACTGAACTCAGGATTTGCATGTCCACAAGACTTAGAATGTAATAATTCCTCAAAATGTTTGGAGAGGGTGGACCCAGAAATTAATACACATTCTAAAAATTCTTAGAAATTGAATCCCAAACTCACAATAGTTTCATTCACGTAAAAATGAGGATATTAATTTTTGCATGGATTTTGCAACAATTTTGTGTTTTTCTGCAAATTGCCAATTTCCAAAATACTTTAAAAGCATATGGTTGCAACCCTTTTTAATTTAAATTAACTCTAACTCAATATTTTATCAAGAACACCTGTGACTACTTCAATGTAGTTTTTGTTGCTTTATGAAAATCTCGTGCCTCTCCACAGATGTGAAACATTCAATAAAAACTTTATTTCTTCAATTAATTCCTGCTTATTGCAATATATGATGTTTTAAAATAATAAACCAAAAATGAACATTAACATCATTTGCTGTCACATATTAAAATACATTCTGACCTAAACCATGAACATTGTTCCCTCTCTGACAATCCCATTCTCAGGCTTTCTAGTCATCAAATTTGACTGACACTGCACATGCTCATTATGTCAGGAAGTTCTTGTGGAGAATGTGCCCTAAACTTTTAACTTATTCCCTACCATTCTGAATGCATGCAAAACAAAAATCCCAAATTTTTTTCCTTCACCACTCTTCCATATACTTAGTTCAATATGTTCATGATTCTACTATTATTACCCAATAACATAGAACTAAAACAGCCATCATGCTTGCGGCGGCGATGGTGTATCAGTTAGCGTATCTGACTGGTATACTCAAGTTGGCGAGTCCAAACCCGATCGAAGCCGTGGATTTTTCAGGGCGAAAAAATCCTTTGTACGCCTTCCTTCAGAGGGGAAGTAAAGCCGGCTGTCCCATGTTCGTAGATTTACTTGCATGTAAAAGATCCTCAAGCCTAAATGACGCCTCTGAGCTAAATTCAAAATTGCCTGTTTCTCGCCCAAGAAATACTTCCTTCCTCTGCTAGTTGGTAAAAGGAGCATAGCGTTTGCGTGGTCAGACGGAAGAGCGGGCCTGATGGCCCAAGTCTCGCCACGTAAAATAAGGCATTAATTCAATTCAATTCAATCATTTCCACCACCGTATACTAAGCAAGAGGTCTACAGCAATGTGTACGATCTCAATGGTATCTCAGACTTGAATTTACTTAATGGATAATATTTGCAATACTTGAGGTATTATCACGCTCACCATCCACAGAGAAATCATGAGTGCCTTCCCAAAAGTTAACAACTTCCTTGATCACACATCAACATTTAAAAAAAAGTGACCTTAGAATACTTATTTTTGGTACCTACCTCCAATCCATCAAGAACATCTTTGCCTTCACTGGGATTAAGACATGCACGAGCTCCAGGAAGCAAACTACTAAAAATAGATCCAAAATCTTTGTTTACTTGATGCCATGCTTTACGAAGTGCTACATTCTTTTTTTCATCCAATTCTTTGATAACTTCTTTGATCTTAGTTTTATCATTTTCTACTACATTCTTTTTTCTCATTAGTTCTGCATACTGGAACAAGAAACATTTACACACTGCATTAGCTCAAATTTTAATACATGAAATTAAAGTACATAAGTTTCAAAAAGAGTCTGCACTTTATTTTATACAAATTCAATTCATTGAAGCTGAAACAAAACATTTATTTTTCATTTTTTAAAGTCCTTCTCTCAAAGCATTAGTAGCTTCTTATTAAAGAGGAACTAATGGTGTTACAATATCATGTACTTTCTTGCATTATTTGTAATGGTTACTTAACACAGTAAAACCTGTCTCAGGAAGAAATCTACCTTTGTCAGAAAATAATCTCAGAACACACTCTTTTCCAATGCATAGGACACTGGAAAGGAAGGTAGGAAACCTGCCTAACTCGGATAAAGGAATGGAATTCTTAATATGATGATGGTGTTAAAAATTCTGAAGACAGAAAACAAATATTGTTTTAAAATTAAATCCATACTTGTAAGTGCAGCAACATCATACCAAGAGACAATCAGAGCTGTGCTCGTCCATTTGCTTTCTCAGTTACCATCGTCCGCATGTTGAATTTCCCAAGCTAATCATGCGAAAGCTACTGTGAAGAAGGAGAGATGCGAAGAGCAATCCTTCCCCAGTTCTCGAAATGTGTGCTTTGGGTTCAGTTGTCCTAGACATTTACTGTTGATCAGATCAACAAGTTGCAGATATTGTGTTAATCAAGTGTTAATGATGTCAGGCAGCAAATCGAAAACGCTTACTCATGGTAAGAAAATTAGACTAGTTGAAGAAGACAAACAAAGCATCACTTCTGTCAAGGTTTTATTAAAGACATGTAATGGTTGGAAAAATCAAGTGTATGACACTTTAAAAACAAAAACAAAATCAAGAATGAATGATAAAATAAATTTTTTATAGGTGGTTGTCACAACATTCACGAAGACATTCACACGAACAGCCAAAGCCTAAATCATCAGATGGATTCGTCTGTTCGTACAAATATTGAAGAAAACAATATTTATTTTACTTTTTATGAAGTTCTTTATTTCATTAGACTTCATGTTGCATTTCTGTACGTCATTTTCTTTGTCTCAGCATGTTTTAAGTTTCTTTAAAATGAACCTTTTACGTGACAAACTACTTTAACACTATTCCATCTTTGATGAACGATTGTGTTTTCTTTATTGACAGTTCTTACTGCAAAACAGAATAAGGAGAAAGTTGTACAAGTTGGAAGAAAACGGTTGACCACACGGTTGATGCCAACTTTGACAGATTTTACTATATTACTTGAAGCATGAGATTCTAATTCACAAAAATGTTTGCCCAAGCTGGGATTCGAACTTGGGTACTTAGGTATAGTCAGTATCTAACATAACCACTGACCTCCAATGTCAACAAAACAACCTTCATGCTGCTCTAAGGAGAAATCTGAGTCTTCACAATATAAAAAAATTCAACTATCCATTTCTAATTCAAGAGCCATGACAGCAGCCATATGGATTAAAGAATATCAAATTTGGTGAAAATCCTGCAAAACAATTATGGTGCCACTATTATTTACAGGGAGAAAGGGTTTTGCAATAAACTTATTTTTTGGTGTCTTGTACCCTCAGTAAGTGAATTCTGACTACATATTTATTAAAGCATGCCTAACCAACTCAATGGTTTTATAAGCCAATTTGATAATTTACCATTATACCAGGCTGCACCCGGATAGCCCAGCCAACACAATTTAATATAGTTTAGGTTGCCCTCCACCCAGCAGACAATTGGCCAGGTGATCGGGCAATGCAATGAGAACATTGGCCAGTCAGGACACTCCCCGCTTCCCCTTGACCAGGTGGAAGAAGGCGCTTTGCCCATGGTCAGATATAGAACAGTGGGGACTGTGACTGGGCCTTGTGTAGATGTAATTTTTAGTGTAGTAGAAATTGTAATTTCTGTAGGCCTTCGTTGGCATTGAGAATTTGGAGGTTTTTGAGAATTAATATTATTATATTACATTTTACCTATATTAAATGTGTGCTGATCATAACCGTACATTTTGCACTGAGGAAAGTCACAGGTTGGCAGCCAAAATATTAGCACCTGTGCCTAGGACTTGGCGTCTCCCAGACAGCCAAATAGCTACCACAGGTGCTTCGTTTAAATTGGTCGAGTTTGAATTTTCAGAATATAACTAATTTTTAGTGTAGTAGAAATTGTAATTTTTGTTACACTAAAACAGTTATATATTTATTTCAAACTCTCTATAATTCCCTTGTCAAATCAAAATTGATGTATTGTTCTTCAGTCTGGTCACCAAATGCTGAATATCTTAGCAAAAAGAGAGAACGAGTTCAACATTTATTCTTCTCTTATGTAGCTTTCAAATTAAAAAAACCTAATCCGAGGTATAATCATGACTACAGTGAAATATCTAGCTATTTGCAAATACCAACTTTGTCATCCTCGAGAATAGTACACGACGTGTTATTTATGAATAAATTATTGACTGGAAAAATTAAAAGTACATCACTTCGAAATATGTAGCAATTGTATGACTACCCATACACAATGCGAAGATCTACTCTACTGAGAGAATTTGACTGTAGAACCGACTATTTCTATAATTCTGCTATACCACGTTTAGCCAGAATCACCAATACATATATGAACGAAATTGATTTGACTCGAAATACAACGTCAATAGCTAAAATGATCAAACAACTCCTATTAGATTTCACTGGATAGATATGCAACAATTGACAATACTTATTTTATGACAAATGAATATTTTGTAATCTTCAAGAGCGTATAAACCTATGAATATATGAAATGTATTTAGGTATTATATGATTATATTATTAAATATTATGTAACTATTATTATATAAGAAGGTATGTGCTGTTATAGCCCTTCTCGTTTAAACTATTATTTATCATTGTATATATTAAAAAATGTTAGATAGATGAGCATTTACACGTGCCTCCAGTAACAAAATGCTGCAATACTTATATCACATCTGAGAAATATTCCAACTTCAGGTATTTTGCTCAATGAGTTGTAAGTGCTTTTGGATCTACATAAATATTTGTGAATTTTGTTCGGGGATGAAATTTACAAAGTGTTCATTATTTGTTTTCATTGATAACAATTTAGAAAATCAGTGAAGTTGTGCAACTCTGTGAAGTTGTGTAAATCTAAATTTTAACAAATTAAGTGAAAGGAGAAACAAAACATTGATAATTAAGACCCAAGAGTTATTTTAAATAATATGATGATGACATTTTATTCATTTTAATTTTTATTGCTTATTTTTAACTCTTTGACCAAACCCTTACTTTTAACACTAAGACCATGCCCAAGCATACTTGAGCAAGTACACCATGCTGGACTGACGAAGCCTGAGCACTGCTTGTTCTCGTGTTTCAAGGCTTGTGTTCAGGAAACTGGGAAGTTTTGCTGAGCGCCGCTTGTTTGTTGTGTGGTAGTAGTATTTCATGTATTTAGAAAAAAAATCACCAGTTTGCAGCACTTATCATGCAATGTTTGTTTTGATTTTAGATTTAGGCCTGAAAGCTGCAGTTTGAAAACGGCCGATGTGAGTTTGCAAGATGTTGCTATTGCAGAAATTCAAACAATATATACTTTTGTAACATTGCCAGTATAATAATGGAAAAATAACTTACTTTTTTTATAAGTTATTGTTATATAAGAACCCATGCAATATTATAAGTTTTTTCTTGAAAAACACCCTTTGCAAGCAGAATTTCAAAAATTATAGAAACACCCTATTGTTGAAATATGCCATTGTAAAGATGAAATGTTATATATAATAACATTTCAACTTTCCACAGAAAGAATTGATTTCTGTAATTAAACATAATTTGTCAATAAATTCTTCTCAAAAATTTAGAATTGTGAATACTTAAAAGGAACTTTCGACGTGACCACATTACATTGTACAGGGCGATTTTTATAAGAATGGACTGTTTAGACAGCTAGTGTTGGCAACACAACTGAACATTACTTCTGTGATCGTTGGGTTCTTGAGCCTATTAGAGTCTCCTTCCAGCATTCGTTTCTGATTGGCTAACGTGTGGCTTCGACACTTTCTTTTCTGATGTCCTCGTGCAACGTAAATGTAGTGCGCTAGGAGACATATTCCCACATAAGTAATTACCGTATTTACCCAATATAAGACAAGGATTTTTTCCCGTTTTCATCCTTTAAAAATCAGAGGTCATCTTATATGCACGTATGATGAAAAATTTGTGTATGAAGAAAACGCAATATCAATGGTATTATGTTGTTCCTGGTATAATACAAGTTATCTTCACAAAGAAAAGTCAATTGTAATAGAAATTCCTTTTTTTTATTATTATTATTGGATGTGTTTATAATTGAAGTAAAAAGAGGTAGAATAATTTTCTCAGCCGTTACACAGAAGCGTTAGATAGGATTTAAGTTTTTCTTAGCAGCAGTTAGCAGTGTTGTAACAGCTGTGATGTTGCCAAAGTCTTCCTCAGAGCCAACGAGAGAGAGAGAGACTCTTAGGCCATGTGCCTTCCTTCCCCATCCACGTCGCTGAGTACCGCGACTTTAGTAGTCGTATGGTAGTTATGTTCATGCTTGGTGGTTGTGTTGTGAAACTGTGTGCTGATACATTAGTGTGGCAATGGCCAACCACGTGGATAAAAGAGGAACTATAGAACTTACCACAAATGTGGAACGACATACAAGTTAAGACGCAAACTTTAAATTGCGAGTAATTCATCTCGCTGAACAAACAAACAATAGTAAACCTACACAGCCTTGGAGAGGTAAGAAAGAACGCCTGAAATCTTGTAATTCCACAAGGAAATGTTTCTGTGGACCGCAAGAGGAGCGCCATCCTGAAATCGACGATGAAGTTGTCGAATTCGTAATAAATCGTAACAAGTGTTTCGGATTTTCTATACACAGCATTCGCATGAAAGCATTAGAAGTTGCAAGAAGGAGAAACATTTCCAAACAGGAATTCAATGCGAGTGTCAGCTGGTGCACACGGTTTATGAGAAGGAAATGGTTCAGTCTACGTAGAAGAACTTCCCTATTGCAAAAGCTGCCAGCAGATTACGAAGAAATGCTTCTGGAGTACCAAAAGTACATTATACAATTGCACCATCAACACAACCATTTGTTGCGTCAAATGGGGAATGCCGGAAACACCCATGTACTTCGACATGCCTTCTAACAATACAGTAGCTACCAAAGGGTGCAAATTCAGTTATGATAAACACATCTAGATATGAAAAAATGCATGTTATGTTCATTCTGAGAGTGTTGGCAGATGACAGGAAGCTACCACCATTTGTTATTTTGAAAAGGAAGAATTTACCCAAAGAAAAACTACCAAGTGGAATAATTTTTAAATGCAATGAATCTGGGTGGATGGCTGAAAGCTTAATGATTTCTTGGCTTCAAGAAGTTACCGGGAGCCCTATTACAGCAGAGAGGATTGTTAACCCTTGATGCCTTTAGGAGCCACCTTACAGAAGAAGTGAAATAGAAAATTACTAGTTTAAAAACAGATTTAGTAGTGATACCAGGAGGCATGACCTCACAGTTGCAAGTCCTTGAACAAATTTTTCAAGCACCAACTCAGATGCCAATATGAAGAGTGGCTGTTATCAGGGAACTGCCCATTAACTCCCGGCATCAAAAAACCTTCATTTGGACAGCTTGGTCAGAGGATTCTAATTGCATGGAATACTATATCAATTAAATGCATAATAAAAGGTTTTAAAAAGTGCTGTGTAAGCAACAGTCTGGATGGCACAGAAGATGATGTGTTATGGAGTGAGAATGATGGACATGAGTTGAGTAACAATGAAACAAGAGAAGATGATGATTGACAGATGATTAAATGATGAATGTGGATGTGGTAAATTTGAAGTTTAATTCATGTACTGTATAAAATATTGATATGCACAAAATAATTTATGCATAATGTTAATAAACATGTAAGTAATATAGATGTGTTTTTTTCAATTTCATTACCTAGTAGGAAACTGATATCAAGTTATAAAAACAAGGGTCGTCTTATACTGGGTGTATTTTTTTCCCGAATTTCAAGGTGTAAAAACATGTCTCGCCTTATATTCGGTTTCCCAGACTCGCGTACGTGCATATACCTAACCGAAAATCTTAGACTTCTGTATATCTTCTCAGGAGCCGTAAACAAACCCTTTACGAAGAGGCGCAGCTGAACAGCTGCAGCACGGAAAGATATGTCCCTGAATTACATGTGATGTTCACTTGTTTAGCGCATTGTCACTTTGGCTCATTCTTACAAAAAATCGCTCTGTAGTAACCACCTCAGTGCCTTACAAGTAATACCCTATATGAATTAAAGAAAATTCATTTAATAGCATAATTCAGAATAAAAGTGTCATTTTGCTTAAATCCATTTCAAATTCAATCTTGCAATATTTGAATATTTTTTAGTAATGGGAGGCAGAGAAGAGTAGAGAGGTTGGGAGCTGAAGAAAGAAGAAGTGTGTTGTAGGATTGAGGTGGGAGAGTTGTGAAGATGAACAACAAATCTTGAGTAATGCAAATGTAAGTAGCTCACCTGCTCTTCTTCCCTTCCCAACATATTCATGGCTCTCGCATTGATGTTGCGCCCCACATCCTTCTGTTGTTGCTCCATGTTACTGATGGTTTTTCCCATATGATTCATATCCAAACCTGTGTAATCATATGCACCACCTTTGACTCCAAAAAACTTCTTATCTCTAACTATCCAATCATATTGCTCTTCCAGGTCTGCTATCTATATCACAATCATAATTGATTAATAAATCTATGTATTAACAGGCAACATGAGCATTATGTATCACTTTGCTTCTATTCCTAGGGTTTGGGTTTTGATATCTCATAATTTTTCTCTCTCTATTGCTTACTTGTACAGTAAATTTAAAATTTGCAAGTTTTTGCTAATTTTGATTCAAAATTGATTCATTTTAGAGTCATAGAAATAGTTTTAGCATACTTTAATTTTGTCATAATTCTGCCATTTCTTAAATATTTAGGACATGTTTTATCTCAATTTGAAATTATTTGCTATCAGGTCACAAACATTGTGCAATTCTGAAATTGGTGACAATTCCCAGAATTGCAACCTAAGTTATAGATATGACATCTCTGCTTTTCAGTAGAGTAAGAGATATGAGCTATTTGCCAAGGAAATTCAATTGGAAGATGTTTCAGCTGTTCTCTCAATTGTATTAGAGAAATATTGACTATTTGGTGGTGTCTTCCTTATTTTGATAATAAATAATAAGGTAAAACCAAAGTCAGGGATTAGTCCTTTAAACAAACAAAAAATGAACTTTCAAAAAACGAAGTACCAAATATAAAGTTAATTTGACACCAACTACATAATTCCTTTAACATCTCATTTTAACTAACCTGATTAATAATTCTGATTTCTAACATTCCTGATTAACTATAGTTCAGATTAAGAATTTTTTATTACAAAATCCTTACACACTGCTTGATGGAAAGTCCTTGTTCTTCAATTTTTGCAACTTCGTGATCAAATTTCTTGACTTCAAGAAGAAGATCATCTTTCTCTTTAATTAATTGTTCCTTCCGTGACAAAGTTGCCTGAATTTCTTTGCTTTTAGCATTTATTACTTCTTTATGGTTTTTCACTTCTGATCTCACTTTTTGGGCAGTTACCTGAAGAGTAATATCTATATTAGAAATATCTACATTTATAATACATGCCAATCCAAAAATTCAAACAAGCTATAAACTAATCGAAACTCATCGATAACCTTTGTTTCCTCAGTTTCAGTTTTTAGTTCCTCTCTTTTCTGTTGTTGTTCTTCTAATTCCTTTTGGGCTATTTCCAAATTGCTCTTGGCTGTCTCTATGGATTTTATTAATTCAGTAACTTCCATGTCCAGGGTTTGGCATTCCTAAATCAATGTGGAGAATAAAAGAATACAGTAGCACATTTTAAGCCTTTAAAGGAATAGAGAGATTAGGTGTAAACTTTACTTGTTCACGCTGCTGCCACTTTTCTTTGCTGGTTTCACACTGTTTTGTAAGCCGATCCAACTCTGCTTTGGCAGCTTTCAATTCTTTTTCAAGAATTGCTTTTGCATTTTTCACTTTGTTTTCTAACTCACTAACTTTCTTTGCACCTTCTTTAACAATTTCATCACATTTGGTTTCTTTCACCTTAAGTTCCTCTGAAAAACCATAGTACATAACAATGTAAAACTGAAACATTAACTAAAAACATTTTCTATTGCTCAAGAGTGATAATTTTTTTCTTTCACATTTTGACAATCAACATGACTCGTTCTCTTCATTCATAGTATAGTAAAAGATGTGCTTGGGATATTTCATAACAAAAGGAGTGCAAGTTATACATCTCCTCCATATGACATTGTTTTTATCATTTTTACCATAATTTAAAGTAAACCAGTTAGCAACCTCTACGATCAGTCAACAAATTCCTCCTATGATACAGCGGACCTTTTTGTTATATCACTTGTACATGTTATTGAATGCTGTATTACCAACTAAATTGTATTAATTGGTAAATAGTTTACAGAATCATCCAAAAGCGGTTTCTAGTCTCCAGTCACTTCCTATTGGATTAAATTTATAACTCATGAAAAAAAACAAGTAATCATTCTGGTCGAGCAACTACTGACAACTGTAAGAGCACTATAGACTATCTGAAGAAGAATTTGCGTGGACAACACAATTTCTGGAGACAACGATTGAACACTGAATCAGATGTCTCTTCTACTGAACAAAAATATGCAGTTTGAAAGTGATGAAGAGAGTTAATGGAAAAAAAAAGAAGGGGAAGAAAAAAAAGTTTCATTACATACACGCAACGTTTCTAGAGGTGAAATAAAATCCTTCAAAAGCTCGGAACAAAATCCCAAATATAACAATGATGTGGGATAAACAAAGGAATTTACCTAGACACTTCAAAAATAGTATATTTGTGTAAACTATTTTACCATATAAATAAATTTAAAAAATTAATAATAGTAATAATAATGGTAATAATAATAATAATAATAATAATAATAATAATAATAATAATAATAATAATAATAATAATATCATACCAATGTTTGTAGCCAGCTTTTCAACCTCCTCTTTGTACTGATGATGTGTCGTTTGTTCTAATTTCTTTTTCACCATTTCCAATTCATGAGAAGCAAGTTCCAATTTTTCTTTTGTTTCATTATACCTGTTGTTGATTGTGAGCATAATTACAATATTCATTAATCAGATGTAAATAAGAATGGTATTTGCACTGAAGGGAATAAAATCAACATTTTAAGAGTTCAAAATCTTACGTTCTGGCATCCCTTGAAATATGCTTCAAACTTTCTTCAATTTTATTTAAGGAGTCCATCTTACTTTTTAATTCGGCACGATCTTCATTTAACTGAGCCAATTGCTGAAGAATTGGGATACCTCTCTCGGCAGCACCTTTTTTTCAAAAATAACAATTAACGATGATCTAATGAGACACTCAATATAGCATCAGTATACAAGTGAACTCGTGCACTGACCTCACATATAAATCAAATTGAAGGTTCTGATGAATTTTATCTACCCAATACCTTTTAATAGAGAGTTGATAAGAACGTGGTTTATTTTTCTATTACACGCTTTAGTGTCATATTATTTTTATAAAACAAGAAAATCATATTAAATTTGGATTTCTCCAGCACATCATCACTGTTATATAACTTAGTGTGGTACCAAAATAGAATAGATTATGTAATATATATTATTATATTATTTAATAATTAAATTTATTTGTAACAGTTACATAATATTATAATATTAGTTGATCCTGCACAAATGCTTCCAACCAGCAAACATATTTGCCTGGGCTGTGATTCAAATCTAGACTGATATTACATTTTGCAAGTAAACAGGCTTATCCACTAGACAACCTGTTTGGTGACATCTGCTCCCAATAAATCAAAATTGTATTCAATGAATATTGAACATACGACATATTATTAAGTGAACTGCTCTCTTTATTTCTCATTATTTCACATTTCTGAGAAAATCTTGATTTTTTAAAATTGTCCTGATTTCACTCAAAATTACATAAAAACTATTTCCTTATAAAAAAATTTCTCATAATATTGAAAGATTTAATTTTGTATTTTCATTAATGTCGCAGTAGGACGTTGAAAGACATTTAAACTTCTGCAATAATTGGAAAATCGGCAAACTTTCTGAAAATCAGTGAGCAACATTTTTCATGTATACTTTGCTCTATTCAAGCAAAAATGTCAATGCAGCGGACATCTTCAGCATTAAGTGACAAGCATCAACACAATGCTCGTGTGTCACAGGCCTCAAGGACTGCCTGCATAAAGTGTAAATATCAGTGCTTTTCCACAGGGCGTGCCTATGCTTGGCCCATGTGTCTTCTAAGAAACAAGTAATGTAAAAAATAAAATCAAAAGTAGCATTGGTAATAGTTCCTGCAAGCAGGTCAGTATGAAGCATGCCAATATAAACATATTGAGTTTTTGAGCATGTCAATGTAAACATATTGAGCTCATAATATTCCATGTCTGATATTCATTTATCTCACTTGTTCACTTTTTCTCCTTCAGTCCCCTCAAAAATGTGTAAGTGAAGTTTTATTGAATATGCATACTTTAGGAAATATTTCTTTGGTTTTGGCAGTTCGCAAGTTAAATGGAAAAGCTCTCATGGTATGAACAGTTTTCTATCTGATAAGATACTTTATCAGAAATCTTAATCAATGTTTATGATCTATCACAGGCTTATTTTTCCATTCAAGTCCAAGACACTGGCCCCTTGACCCACCCCAAGACACACACCCCGCCCCCTTGCCCTAAACAGAAACCCAATCATCTCTTCTTTAGCACACATGGGGCTGTTTACATTCTGCCGGCAATGCAAGTAAGCAAGGGCTGTGTTAACTCACACTCAATTGGCACAGTATCTGCCATCGGCATTGAAACATTGGGATGCCAACCAAAAGTACAGTAATACTTTTAAAAAATCAAAATAAATCAAAAAGAAACATTCCTTCCAATAAAATTTATTGATTTAGACATTACTCATCCCCAATAATTACTTTACGTCTACTAAAATGTAGTTACAATATTATACAAATACCTCCTGCTAATGTTCCTGAAGGATCCATTACATCCCCATCGAATGTAACAGATTTCTTCATTATCTTTGGATGAAAAGTAACCTTCTTTGCTATGTCCATGTCTCTGCAAATGAATGTCTGACCAAAGACAAATTCCATTGCAGGTTGCAATTCTTTGTCATATTCAACCAGGGAAAGAGCTGGAAAAACATTTTCTTTTCCACCCTAAACACAAGAAAAATTTGCAGTATCAAAAATCATGTCACACTTTTAAAGATACATTCTTCAAAACTTCATGGGCAAGATTCGGAATAAAACGAACTCTTTAATGCCTTCCTGCCTTGAAACAGTCAACTTGCTTACTTCTCTGTATAACCTTAGTCTTGGGCTATCATTTTTTGACCTCTGATAGCCCTCTACTATTTTAGCGTGCTGTAAATGTTGAAGACTTTATGCAGAGATAAAAAAGTATTAAGAAACAACAAGTAATTTACCCTATTATTTTGTTCCTAAAGCAGCTAAGGTAAGTGATCCGAACAGAGAATAAGTTGAGTTAAATTAAAGTGAATTTTACAAACACAATTTTATCTTTCCTTTTGCGATTCCAAATGCAATTATGGTTGCTTTAAAATTTTCACTACAAAGCACTTTTAGATTTTACCACTTTTTCTAAGTTGTGTACACTCTTCATAACTAACCAAAATGAAGGAAGTGGCTCAGTATGACACACATGGCCAACATCATTTTTTTTTCCCCAGCAGATTGAAAACATTAACAAAGTTCTTGGGATACCAAATATTTGACTCACCACTTGTTGAGCAAGTTGCACAACACTATTTGGAAGACCTCGGGCTGAGATTTGATTTAAAGGAATGAAGGTAGTGCGCTTTTGCAGGTTGCCTCTCTCAAGTAGCTTTTTGCCAGTTTTCTCAGTATCAACAATTACATTAAATAGCTGAAATAAACAATTCCTTCAGTATTAGTATTCATACTTCGCAGGTCATTCTTAAAATAAATCTGAGATTAGAAAACAGATTTGTTTTCTCGATTCATTAAGGAGAGGTTTTTATCACATTTGCTAATTTTTTTCCATTCAATGAAAGTATATGCAAGATTTCTTGAATAATTACACTCTGCTTTTTGAATAACAAGCAATAAACTCAATGTATACAATTTCATGTCAATTATTTTAAGAAAATTGGCACCATTAAAATGATCATTTTGTATGTATGTGTGCCCCCCCCCCCCTTCACCTCTAATACTGTTGGGACTGTGAGGATGTCTACCTCAGTTTTCTTTGTGACGAGTTTTGCAGCAATTTCATTTCATTTTCTGGTCAGCAATTTCATTTCCTATTATCCCAACATGACCACGGATCCAACAAAACTCCAAATTATATCAACAAACCAGTTAATTATGGATCTAGTGTTGGATGATTATTGTGAGAGGGTCACAAGAAGAAAGTAAACAGGATAGATTTGAGCGAGCTTTTTGAATCACTGCAAATCACAGCTTTTGATGTCATTGATTCAACGAACTTAAGAGCCTCCAAGAGCACATATTTTTTAGCAGTATAAGCGCCACACACAGTCTAGTCGAAGACTCCGCATGGCTCTGTGTCAGTAGAAGGCACACCATACATTACCATTCTTGGAGGAACCATTAGTATATATGAAGTCATAGCCAGGATACATGTATTTCGTCTCCTGGAATTCTGCCAGAAATTTACTGGGGGAGTTGACAATTTGGGGAAGTAAGGTTATCTCAAGTCTATTTTAGGCCAGGAAGCTTCCCCGGGAGAACAAGTTTG